GAGGGCTGGCTGCTCCTGGGGGCACGGGTCTGAGCAGGGCACCGAATGCCTGGGGAGGGCTTTGGCCAGCTTTGGCTGGCAGCACCATCACGAGGCCCTGTAGCTCTCCCAGTGCCCTCTCCACGTCCACCCCATGGCCCTGTGCCCACCCTCCATCAACACAGACAGGAGGGATGTGGGTGAACTCCATCTGCCCCGAGGAGTGAGGGGCTGTGGGCTCTCCCCCGGGGGGGCTCTGACCCCACAGCCAGCGCTGTCACGGCCCAGCCGAGCTCCAGCACTTGTCTAAACACAGAGCGAAGTGGGAAGTGGCTGCCCGGCAGGGCCGCAGAACTCATTACCCAGGAGCTCATCATTTAATGAGACCCAGGAGGGGGCCTGGGAATGGTGGGGAGCGGGGCCAGGGCAGCGGTGAGGGGTGCGTGGGGAAGGGTCCGTGCCCCAGGCTGTGCTGTCGGGTGCAGAGCACTCTGCAGAGCGCCCTGCCATGCTCTTGGGGCCAGGCTGCCGTCGGACCCCTGCTGCAGCCCTCAGCCCCAGAGATGGGCTCAGAGATGGCATCAGATGTCTGTGCACCCAGAGATGTGCTGCAGGTCCAGGTTGGCACCGGCACCCTCGGATCTTGGCCGGGGCAGCGGCACGGCACTTCCTCCAGCAAGAGGGCAGAGGGGATCGATAGCAATTAACTCTGGCGTTTTTGTGCCATGTCTGCAATGTCTGCGGGGAGATAACGGCCAGTTTAGGTACCAATATCCTCACAGTGCCTGGCAGGCGGTGTGGGTACTGGGAATAGGGCTTGGCTGGGGGCTGCAGGGGTGATGCCTTGGGGTGCACGTAGCTCTGAGCAGCACCGGGGCTGGGGGCCATGGCATGCTTGGTGGCAGGAAGGGAAAAAAAGGAAGGGCCTGCGGCAGGGGAGCACCTAGTCCCTGCGGCCCCTGCACTGCTGGATGCCCAGGACCCTGCGACACCCGACAAATGGGGCTTTGAAATGCCAGCGATGCCCCTGCCCAGGCTCCCCGCAGGGCTGGGGCACCCGGGGCTGCCGCAGGGCCGAGCAGCGTGCCCGGCTCCTTCGAGCACGGCGAGGACGGCAGGAGAGCTCGGCCGGTGGTGAGCAATAAGCAGGGTTTATCTCATCACCTCGTGTCATGGCATTGCCAAGGAAAACTGAACAAGCTTCATGTGACCACTGGGAAACATGAGCTCATG